CCTGAGTCTGATCCCCTGCACCAAAAAAAGAGGGGTGAGAGGAGACCTATTATTAATCAACAATTATTCAGACAGTTTTTCAGATGTTTGTACATTCTGAATTCTCTACTAGACTTTATTCTTCTTAGTGAAACACTCTTCTTATTTTTGTTTCAGTCCACAGTTGCTCCATAGAAAGTATTCAATTCATGCTTGTTGGTATACAGTTTGAAATAGTGTTTCACGACAAAGTTATAAAGCTCTTCAATAATTTCAAGCTCATAGAAGTTGAGAGTAGAATATGGCTCACCAGATGCTGGGCGGAGTGGTGGGGAGGCAAAGGTGGGGAAGGCTGAGTTATGGGCTCCGAGTTACACTTAGAAGTAAGAGATTCTCATGTGCCGTCTGCACAGTAGGATGAGTATACATAACAACAATGTATCTAATTTTCAAAAAGCTAAAAGAAAGTATTTTGACTATTTTCATCAAAAAGAAATGATAAATGTTTAAGGGAACAAATATATTTAACCTTATTTAAGTATTATATCATGTACATACATATCAAAATATTGTATGGTATCCCATTAATGTGTACAACTTTTATGCTTTTTATATGTCAGATAAACTCTTTAACACTTATAATATTATAATCCTTTAAGAAAAGTAGCAGACTAAAATAATCTTTAAATGTATTTAGAAATTGACCCAAAATAATATGGAAATTATTTTAAGTTAAAGAACTGATTTTAAATCTTTAAATGTATTTAGAAATTGACCCAAAATAATATAGAAATTATTTTAAGTGAAAGAACTGATTTCTCAAATAAATCATTTAATAATCTTTTTTCAAACACTAATTCCTTATTATTCTAACAAAGCAGAAGGAAATGATGAAAATGTGCAATAACAGGGGTAAGAAGCTATTTCTCAATTACAGTAAAATGGAAAAGACCATTAAGAGAAGCAAAGAAATGGGCCTGAAAGAATACTCACTAACTATTAATACATAGATGAAAGGATTGGGTGGCAAAGAACTTTTAGCCTCTATTTTCTCAAGAGAAGAAAGAGAAAGTTCCAAGAAGGGAGATACAAATACCGAAGGAATGCTATGTTATTACAGCATGAGCAATGTAAAATGAAACCAACATTTAATGAGATTCATCCAAAAGGGTGTAAGACACAGAAAAATCATGTGAAATCTATGTGAATCACAATACTGACAGAAAGAACTGAGGAATGAAAGAAGAGAAGCGCTCTTCTTTTTCTGAATGCTATAGATTTTTACTAGGAGGTGTACATGCAAAACTTACAACAACAACAAAGAATTCTACCTATGATTTGATTTGACATAGATTTTATACTTAAGGACAAGGCTGGAAAATTCCTATATCAAGTAATGTAATCATGCCACCTCCAATAATATGGATTTAAGTTGTCTTGTATAGATTGTTATCTATTTTATTTGGGATACTGTTTCCCAATGTCATAACAAAATCCTGCAAATGTCAAATTTGTTTTCTTTTTTTCCCACTGTCTGATGGATTTTCACTTTGTTTGCTTCTGTAGGTACTTTTGCAGCTATAATTAAGGGCATCAGCATTTAATGATTATCCCCTAAATAAAATTAACCTCAAAAGAAACAAATTCTAACTGCAACTTTCTTGGTAGGACTCTTAAAAGTGAAGCAGAAGAGAGTACATAAAAATGATAATTGATATTTTCACTATTGCAACTCATCTTAGTTATTTTTCTTGTTGCTAAGACAAAATATCCAACACCCAAAGTTAAAAGAGAAAAGGTCTATTGTAGCTCACAGCTTGTAAATGTTTCAGCTCATAGTTTGCTGACACCAGGGCAGGTTGGCATAGCAGAGGAGAAACTGCTAATGGCAGGCAGAAGGCAGCAAGGCAGCAAACAGAGTAACAAAGCAGCAAGTGATGAGCATCAACAAAAGTAATCATCTTTCTGTCCCTTATATTCTGCCCAGGCTACCCACCCTTAGAGCAGGCAGCACTCAGAGCCAGAATCCTGGTATTGTGCCATGAACTAATCCCACAGTGACATCCTTAATCCCAGCATCACATGTGCTAGATCCAACCACTTGTGAAAAACTCCACCTATGAACACACAAGGCTTTGGAGGATCATCTAGATACAAGCCATAACACAACTGTATGAAATTCAAGATTTTGAGTAATAAAGATCAGGAGGAAGGCAACCTGCAGAATGCATGTGAAGATTTTTGTGTCTATATGATAAAGGAGTATATATTATTAGTCATGTTTGGATTTTTAACACAGTGTCATGGAGGCCTGGTGGTTCAGAAGGCTGAGGACACACATTGTATTGTTCACATTCTGATGCTCACAAACACTAGCCTTGACAATTTACCTGTCCTCAAGGTGCACTGGCTTCTATGATCAAAAAAGGGGGGCAATCTAAGAAGGTCTCAGTGCATATCTTATTGGATTCTTCTGGAAATAAAGTAGTATTGGATAGAGCAATTTACAAACTCTGTATACTGTTCAATTAAAGGATTATTACGATATGATGTTTTCCCATAACTTACCCTAGGAAGAGCACATTTTAACATTTTGGCCCTGTTTATGCTATGCTTCCATCCAGCATTAGTAAATGCATTAAAATGAGCTTAGGTGCACATGTAAAACAGAATAGACACCAAGGTGAACAACAGTCACGACCACATCTTCCTTCTTAAAATGGTGTCGTTCACTGGCATTTATGGCCCACCTTCTCCTGGTTTATCTTCATTCACTCCTTTAGATTCTTTTTCCAGCTGTTCCACTGAAGTTGTTTTTTCCACTTGGTAAGAAATGCTGGCTTTCTCCCAAGGGTTTGTTCTTAGCCTATTCGCCCTTTAACATGCCTGCTAGGTTCTATTCCAACCACTCTGAAGGTTTTAATCTTCCCTTTCTCCCTAGGCTGATAATTCCTTGACAATACTTCTAACCACTCCCTTCTGAACTCCAAACTGGTTTATCCAGTTATCCCACAAGGATCTTAAATTCAGCATGGCCAACTCTGAAAACATTCTGTGTTCACTTTCTTTCTCTGGCTGGTATTATCTTATCCTCTATCCTTCTCCCAGGTGCCAAATCCAGACAGTCCCCTAACTCACACAAGTCTGGACAATTGCGTTTCCTGTATATTGTTTTCATGTCAGTTCCTTCTCACTGTTGTTCACCTTGTCCCGCTTAAATTTCCTCACTGAACTAGCTTTTTGAATCCTGACATGTTCATGTTAGACCCATTTTCCCAAGTGTAGCCAGAGTGATTTACTCACCTTGCATCAAAATCAAACCATGTAAAGTCTCAACATTAAGTTCTTAAATAATGACCTATCTCAACAGGCTGAAAGCCAGCAAACTTCATGGACATAGAAACACTCCATGTGGCCTTTGTCGCTGTGTCAAGCTTGCGCCCCTCACTCCCTATTTTATACTTTGCATTTTAAGTGCTGACCAGATTGTAAGCTAGCATGTTTAACTTAATGGTTCTTGTTTTGAACCTTTACTTTGGTAGCTCCCTCTTTGTCCTTTTTCCCCACATTTACCTGGCTAACTCATGCTTATTATTTTAAATATTTCTTCACCAGAAATGGGTGATAAATTTCCAAACTCCCAATAGTGGGCATTTTGCTATGTTCCTTTTACCTCTTCCATAAAAATATCTGCATTTTCTTAAAAATGCCTATCTATCTATCTATCTATCTATCTATCATCTACCTAATATCCATCCATATTACCACTAAACCCTAAGATTTCTATGACCAGGAAAAGTGTTTTGAGCATCTTTGTTCCTGGTTCATATGAGATAATCAATTAAAATAGAGCTAAACTTTGAACACATTGGCAGTGATCCTATCACTAAACATTTCTTTTCGTTCCACCGAGGTACCACTGTATTTTACTAGAATAATAGACAGGAATGGGTATGTGCAATTAATACTGTAGAAGTTTTCTTCCTAATTATTTCAGACTACTGCAAAGGACTGGTATAAATATGGTGTGACACAAGAAAAACAATGAGTGAAAACATCCTTATATAAACAAAATTCTACACTGAATAATTTTAATTTATGCCTAGATCGCTAATAGCATGAATAATACTTCAATGATGAACAATTTTTTGAAAGTCATATTTTATCCATATCAAGTCAGTGTAGGAATTTTCTTGCTAAATGGGTGACTTCTTGTACTTTCTTAGCACTAGACTTCAGATTCTGTAGAACAGTACCCAACTGGAGGTATATTTGGAGAAAGCAATTTATCAGCACAAGACAAGGTCAATCCTTTCTTATCTTTCCTTCTCAACCTGACATATAGCATTTAAAAATTAAACAGAAGAATATGGTGCTTCCCGAGGATTTATTCAACCATCTGGCACACTACTCATATGACTGCTGCTGTCCATTACAGGAAACCAAACACAACTTTATTCACAAAAAGCAGGTATAAGCACAACTTCTTAAAATCCAGGCTTTTAAAGGCAGACAGGCTATCTTTTCTGGTAAATATTGGTTGACTTTTATGTCACCTTCAATCACTGGGTGGATTATTTACCTGCTCTGGAATAGAGAGGAGATGCGAGAGTCTGAAACTGGATGATTTGTGTTCTGGTCTTGGCTCTGTTGTTTGTGTTGCTAACTCCATGATCTTTCAGTTGCCTAGCCCTCCAAAACCTTTTGTTCCTCATCAAAAATGCAGGAATAAAAATAGCAGCTAGTGCTTAAAATGCAGTAGGTATGTTTTGATGGCTTTGCTTATATTATCTCATGGACTATTATTTCCAGTTTACATTTTGGGAAATAGAAAGGTGCCAGTGGCAGTCTAGATTTAAGTGGTTCTGTTTCTGGTGTTCTGTGCTCTTAATCTATGTTTTCTGTTTCTCTGTGTTTGTTTTTTAGTACTTGTAAAGAGATCAGAAATTAATAGGAGTAAAATTGGAAATGAGGAGGTACTTGACAAATGATTCTAATTCCTTCAGGTACCCAGCTCCGCCTTGTAATCCAGACCCAGGCAAATGTGTAGACTTGGCACTAACCAATAGTGGCTAAATAGCATCACCTGAGGCAGTCTGACCAATCAAGACTCAGGAAGAACCTCAAAGCCACAGAGTCAGGTTGGTTTCTACCAAGTCGTAAAGTCTAATCTCTGTTTCTATGGTTCTGTTTTATTTCTTTAGTATATATTAAGAGTCACTAACATAGAGGAAGGATCAGGTAAGTAAACCGCAGGAAAGAGGCTTCACAGGAGACATGAAATGTAAGCATGAGGTCGCTACTTGCAAAAGTAAAGGTCAGAGAGAGCAGCTTATGTAGTTATTTGTTCCATTTCTGGATTCCTGACTAGTCTATAAACCTCAGGAGGGTACAGATGCATCCAGTTTATTCTCTCACAGAGCTTTTAGCAATCAGTGTGGTACCTGGCATAGTAAGTGTTCAAGAAATACTGAACGAATGAATAAAATGTACAAAGTGTGTGGAGAAATTTAAGTACATGAAGAGAATTTGAGGAACTGGGAAAAGACTGGAGAGATATAGGTTAAAGAATTTGCAGGAACCAGATAACAGAGGATCTTGGCAGAGACACTATGAATCTTGAACATTATCAATGCAATGGAAAACCATTGAAGGAAGGGGTTAAAGACTACTTATGAAATTGGTGAGGCACCTTAACTCCTGAGTACAGTAGCATCAAGGTATCAGCATCAAGAAGGATCTCGGTCCCTTAGGATCAATACTATCCTGACTCAGTGGTTCTGCAAGTATAATAAGGCAGCTTTGAGCTTGGGTAGGGAAAACAACTTAGACAGAGAGGGTTCTAGCTGCCTACACAGTGGAACCAGACAGTGTTTGCCAGGTAATACAAAGTTCACTAGCCCCACTAATCTTGAAAACAATGGTAGCCCTATGCTAGGTTATCCCACGTGTGATTTTTCAAAATGAGCATTTATAAGATAAATCGCTCAGCTCTTTCCTTCTGTATTACTTAATTTCTACATTGTGATGAATCCCAGAATACATTTTGCTAGATATTCAATGCCAAAGTCTTATTGTTTTTCTCATAACTTTTAAGACATATAAACATACTTGGAAACAATCACTGAACTGTCCCTTTCATGAGGTTGTTAACCTTTAGTGACAATGACACTTCTTTCTGTATAAGCCTTCACAGAACATTCAGATTAGGCACAATTAACAAAAATTATAGTTTATTAAACATCATGCAAAGTTCAGCTTGGGCTACACTATGCACAAGTTATTTATTTAGCATAGTAATAAAAGATAAATGTCTCCTAAAAATTAAGAAAAGCAAGGTAATTGAAATCTGACATCCACTTGAAATGCCAAGATCTTTAAAAAAGAATTCCATCACTTTTTAAAAAAAGTATCTAAAATTATTCATAGGCTTTCTTTTCATTATTTATAGCTACATTGTGTCACCCACACCACTGTTTGCGATTTATGTTTAAACAAATGGTATAGACCACAAGTAGGCTTTTGCTCTGTGAAATCAACCTTGAGATATTAATGCAAAAGCTATTGTGCTGAGAGGTAAGAAACCCTACACTGCCACTCTCAATGCCAGTGTGTTAAAAGAGATTTCAGTAATGGCAAAGCCAGTCAACAGGGAGTAATTAAACCCAAGTTGTCTGAGGTTTGCTGTGATGTGTGGAATGATAGCTTGCAACCCCGCTGCTGCAGAATGTTTGCTAAGAAGAAAGAATATGGGGCCACAGTTCAGGTAAAATGCAATGATGCAGCTCCTCGACCTCTGAAACAATAGGTGGGGCCCACCTGAAGAATAAAATCAACAGAGTAAACAATTAAACAAGGTTGTAACACTAGGGCCATCTCTATGTCATGCCACTGAAGTGTTTGAAAGGACAGAATTACTCCATATAGAACTGACAAGTATCTGTGCTTGGCACCTTGGGCAGCTGACAAAGATGCAGACTGGAAACTGTGGTAAAGAATACCTTGCTTCTCTTTTCATCAAAGCGTTCTTCAAATTCAACGCACTCAGGGGATACATTAAAAAGAAAAAGGACACACTGTGCTTCCTTGGTCAAGCGGTTGGTCTCTCCCCTAACGCTACTGACCACGCAGCTATAGATTCTCACTGATAGTGTGGTGGCTACTGAGTGCCCCCTACATTTGGGCAGAAGTATAGGCTAGTCAAAGAGTCAGTTCGGCTTTAGTTTAGAATCCTTAACCACTCAACTTGACTGTCTTCTTGCAGAGCACTCTGGATCTATGCTTTCCATTAGGGGACCACAGGCCACAAGTGGTTATTTAAATTTAAACATTGATTAAAACTAAAATTTAGTTCCTCAGTGACAATAGCCACATGCAGCCAGGGCTTGCTGCATTAAACAATGCAGATGCATAGTATTCTTTAAGTAACCTTACAGAAAGTCTTGCTTTTAAAGCGCTGACTAAAAAATCAGCAGTGGTTTCCCAGTCACGGGTCATCCCTTCATGCACCAACTAACACATACAGCAAGGTCAATTAAAACATTTTAGAAACTGCTACTAAAAATAAATTCCAGATTACAATTAAACTTCGACATTTAAATAATGAATTACCTATTTCCATAGCTATAATTTTGTGAGTAAGGTGATGATTTAAAACATACCACAAATATGTGCTCAGAAAAGGGCTTGGTGGCCGTGTGTCTTGCATGGGAAACTTCAACTATAGTTATATGTACACCTGTCATGTGGCAAGCCAAATGAGAAAAAACAAATGACATATTAGGAGAAGGTGGGATTACAGAGTCAGGTGAACTTTTTTACATCCGAATTCTGACTCCTTGCTTCCACGATTCTGGAATATTATTAAGCTGTTCAAGCCTCAGCTTTCTCATCTGTGCCACAGAACCCATAATTTTCTTTTGCAAGGTATTATGACAATTAAATTATAAAGCAATCCAGAGTTTCTGCTCACAGAAGAATCTTAAAGCGGTAGGTAAACAATGAAATGAGAGAGACAGGAAGAGGGGTCACCTGGGCAGGCGCTGTGACAGCCTGGATAGAGTCTGAACAGCCACAGAACTGAGGTGCTTGCACGTCACACCGCAGAGCGTCACTAGCTGAAATGTGCCTGGCAGGGTATAATACAAAATAGGGCTTCCATGGCTAACAGCTATCATTAAATGCCTGCACACTCCAGTGACTGTGCTTTGTACTCTCAAACCCGCTCTTTTCAAAGCACCATCACCACACTCTTACTTATGGTGCTCATTTCATTAGAGTAAGCAGAGTCTCAGGGTTTGCGCTCAGCTTTCTTTTTTACATTTATATATCTGCATTTTGAAATAATATCCTCCTGTTGGATACATGTGGTGTACAGACCACACTCTGAAAAATATTAAAACCCAACTTGTTTAAAGCAGCAGAGTAAGGTGTGAGCCTATCTCTGCAGGGAAGCTCTGCCAACTGCAGGTCTGTAAGAGCAGGTCAAGAATTGGAAGGGTAAGAAAATTGCCTCTAACTTGGGAGGCACAGAAGTCAAGCTCATTTGCCCATGTGCTCACATTTTTCTTTGAAGAGAGTCACTCAGAATCAACTTATTTTTATTTAAGACATGGATCTGGCAACATTGCCTGTGTGGACTCCTGCACCGGATGAATTTTAAAAACTTTTTATTCCTAATGGCAACAATACAGAAGCCACAGATCTCAAAGAGGTAAGCTTCAGATACCTGGATGATGCCTTTCTCTGGAACTCTATTTTTACTGATTGGTGTTAGTAAAGGAAATGTTACCTGAGCACCTGTACATATTCAGTATTAGATAAAAAATACTTGGTTAAACAGAATTTGTTCAGACTGAGTAGTGAACAAAATAGATGTCAGACTCTGGAGTCTGACAGACTTGACGTGCTATGCTCTATCCAGAAACCCTAGGTATGAAGTCCTGTGCAGTCAGCTAGTTCATCTGAAACTCATTGTCCTCATCTGTACAGTAAAGCTAATGGCAGTATTTATATACTACATTCATTCATACATGCATTCATTTTCCTGCGTTGGATTTCTGAAGACAGGAACACTCTTCAGCCTTACACCTTTTTCTTCTGATATATGTTCTTTCATTCCATCAATTCAGCAATGAATTTGCAGCAGATTCTAATCTACCTCATACTTTACTATTCTGAAAATTTCCTTTCCACCCCATCTCTGTGATTCCAGACTTTGTTCTTTTTATCCAATCTGGTTTGTTTGTTTGTTCTAGGTACCAGAAATTGAACCCAGGGCCTTGCACTTGCAAGGCAAGTGCTGTACCGCTGGAGGTGGAGACAACAGCTGAGTTAAATACAGTAGAACAGGTCTACAGCTATCTTTCTTGGGGATAGCTGTAAGAGTAAGATTGGCATTTAATAACCAGGATTTTGTCAGGTAGAGGAGGTGGAAAAAAATGGAAAACACATATGGATATAGAAGTGAAAGGGTAAAAACTAACATAAATAAAAATATTCTATGCTGAAGGAACTTTCAGAACTCTGAGTGAATGATAACTAGGGTGAAAGCCTGAGATAGGGGGAGACATGAAGTTAAATAGGCATTTTGGAACTAAACATCATGAGGCGTGTATACGGGGCTAAAAAATTTGCTTTAGTCTTCTTATTTTCAAAATCTTTTTAGCAACAGAACACTTCTCTCCCAAGAAAAATCTTATACAAGCCTATGAATATCAAACGAGTAAAAATGGGTGCTGAAATGCTTGATGCATAGGTGAGAAGGTAAGAGGCTGATCTACTTGGCTTTCCTTCTCCAAGTTTCCACGTAATCCCAGCGCTCAGGAGGCTGAAGCAGGAGGACTGTTGTGAGTTCGAGGCCAGCCTGAGCTACAAAGTGAGTTCAAGGCCAGTCTAAACTGCATAGTGAGACCCTGTCTCAAAAAGCAAAAAAATAAAACTACTTCTGTGGACAGTAGGGAAACAGAATAGTGCCTTAAACAAACATTTCATGTTTGGTGTTTTGAAGGGGTGATCTTAAATGGGTGAGAGACCATTTAGGGTACTCATACAGTCCTGGCAACAAGAGGTGAGGTTTAGAATTAAAGGAAAGACTGTGATTTTGAGAAAATCATGCTGAATAGAGAAACATTTCTGGGGATAGAACATTAAATTTGGCATGTCTCTGGACAGGAGTAGGGGAGAGTACAAGTCAAACTAAACCTCTAAATTCTAAATTCTAGTTTGAGAGGAAAAAAGGAACATGATGAAACTATTAACTTTAATGGGGATAAAAAGAGAGGAAATGGATTTCACTTCATTTCAAGTAGGACAAGATACTAAGAAGACGTTCAGTTAAGTGAGCAAAGCTGTAGGTTTGGAGCTTCAAACAATGATCTGAGTGTCCTTCCTGGATGAGTAAGTGGCATCTCCAGGCACATATGACCAAGGAACATCAAGAGGTATAGAGAAGAAGGAGCACTGATGCCTGGACTCGTGAAAACACCAGTGTTCAAGGATGTAGAGAAAAGGAGAAGAGCACCCAAAAATAACCCCGGAAGAGGAGACTAAGGAGAAATATGTGGTGACGGGGCAGCCAGGGGGTAACCAGGCCCAAGAGGGCATGAATCGCCCTGAGAAAGTGATTGTGAAGGGAGGGCTGAAAAGTTACACCTTAGATTTTTCAGCAAGGGGTTAGTGCTGACCTTTGCAAGTGTAATTGGAAAAACAGAGACAGACTGAAAATTGAGGAGCTAAAGACACACAGTAAAGAGTGAGGTTGTGCAGTTCAGCGGTGACTTACAGATACACTACTAATCTTTCAAAGTCTTCTTTGAAGCCTTTTTTTGTTTGTTTTTGGGATCATCTCCTTCAAACTCAAAGGAAATCCATAATCTTTACCCTTTATATTAGAGTTCATCACTTTACCATCCACCACCCTCAGTTATTATAATTAATGAGTACTACAGCCTTCATTGTTCCTGATAGTATTTCAGAAGGTTCTAATGCCTGAAGAATTAGATTTACCTTTAAAGTAAAGAATTCAATTTAGTCTCTTATATTGCTCTTTTCCTGCCTTTCCCCCCTCATGCTGAACTTCTACCAGTTCCTGGGTTTCACTATGCGTTCTCTTGTCTCCACACAGATGCCTAACATCCTTTCCTGCTACCATACCACTCCCCGTTATTGTAATAAGATTAATTATCATTGAGGTGATGGTGTAGATGTACTTCCTGAAGGAAACTTTCTGTGACTTCCTTTAGAGTTGGCTGTGAATCCCTCTCAACCACCATCTATCTGTATTTGCGATCTTCTGCCTTCACCATGACCGCACTGGACCTGTTTGTTCATGTCACTGCATCCCTCACGAGGCCGTCTGAGAGCAGGGAAGGTGTCTGATTTGGTTAGGGCTTATCTCCATTACCTAGAGTAGATAGGTAGTAGCTGACCCCAAACATGGGCTCTAGCATTTGAGAAAGAAAAGAAACAAGAATAACTAAAGAGAGGAGAAGTAAAGAAGAAAGGAAAGGAAGAAAGGAAAGAAAGAAGTTAATGTGGCCCTAGTCTCAGTATCACCAGAAACTAGTAGGTAACCTTGGTGGTATGATTTATAGTTAGTCTATAGAGCTAATATATCATACTAAATTTTTTGCACGATCCTTTCCATCTTGGAATTGGATTTTTAAAAAAAATCTAGCATTTACTCTGATGATTCATATTCTTGATAGGATACATATATAGCTATATTCTGTGGCTCCAGATAATCTTTATATCTGATTAAAACAATATTAACTGCTGAGCATTTCTCCTTAAAAGGCTTCCATGCTGGAAGTCTGCGTTAGTTTACACTAAGTGCGCTTGACTTGCTCACTTAGCATAGCTGTGACTCAGTTCCTCAGTCTAGAGAAGAATGGCGACTGAAAATTAAAAGAGGCAAGAAATAGTGACTTATGAACTGCAAATATTATGGCTTTGCATAGGTTACTCAGCAGATATTATTTGTAGATGGCCAGGTCTTAGGCTGGGGTTTCACTTTCAGAATAGCTACCTTGATTTAAGGAAATCGAGCTATTTGACACATTAGTCAATGTGAGTGCAGTTAAGATCAATATTCAGTGGGTAGTTATATGAATAGTTTAATAAAAACATAGACACTTAAACTTATTCCCTAGCAATAGGGATTTATATACTGTTAGGTCTTAAAAGTCTGACCATACAATGCCACTCACTGTAGTCCAGCAGACATCATGATGATTTTCTTAGCCTTCAATCACGACTGTTACCTGGAAAATCACAGTAGAAGTTTCCAACTCAAGAGAGAGGTTTCTCACCCTTCAAAGAAGTTACAGATTTTAAGAGTCTCTTCCTGGCTATGACCAACCTCTCGCCTTATGCATGTAGTTTCAATTTAACCAACCTCACTGAAACTAATGACTCCTGTATTATACTGTTTCTCATTCTTTACCAAGGAGTTAAATTTCACTTAGCAGAACATTCATCAATAAGTAAGAAAGTGTACACAAATACAAATAAAAATGGAAAAGCCAGCACCTTACAATTTTTTTTGCCCTTATGTAAGCAAAATTTTCTTCCATTGGAAAGAGAACTACTTGTGCAGGTGGTAGCTAAGTGCTACCAGCTGCTCTGTGGCAATATAGTTTTTGAAACAGAACTCTGAAAAGAAGGATGGAGAGGGAGAAAATAAAGGAATGGGTGTGGAATAAGCTCTATATTGAACTAATTCCCTGGGTAGTACAGGAGATGGGGAAAGCAACTTCAGGTCATAAACAGTAAGCAGAATATCCATTCAGCTGGCCTACAATAAATTTATTTTTCCAAGAAAATGAAGTGGAACAAGAGAACAGACATACCTGCTTTATGTTAAAGAAAAGCATGCATGAACCTAATACAGGAAGAAGTTGTTTAAGACTGTACATCCTTGAGAAAATATTACCTCTATAATAGTGCCAGGGTCTCTGCTAACTTGGGTTATCAGCTACATAAATTAGAAGCACACTGGGGCTGTCTAACTTACACAGCAGTCAGCGGTGATCATATAATGTGTACCTTGCTCCATCATTTACTTCTTTTGCCCTGTTTTCTACTTAGTAGCTTATTTTTAAAAGGAGATTGCAAATATAACTTCCTTATTATCCACTGTGTACCAAAATTAAAATATTGCAAGGGTCCACTTAGATTAAAATAATAGAATAGCCAATCACAATATAAGAATTGGGAGAAAATCACATATTCACTCTTTTAAGGACTGCAGCTCTCTCTTCATACCAGAAAACTTTCTCCTTGAAGCCAATCTTTGGCAGTGCCAAGAACATAATGATTAATGCACTCAGTGATAGTTTCCTTCCTGTTCTGATTCAGAAAGCAAGAAATGGGGTAAAATGGGGAAAAGGAAGGGGAACAATTACAGAAAGAAAAGGAAAGGGAATGGAGAAAGTAAAAAAAGAATGAATAAAAGAAACAGAAAGATGAGTAACCAACTGTGGTCCTTGAAAGAGGAAATGCAGAGAACGAAAAGGAGAGATGGAAACTTAAGAAAGAAAACATTGTCAGCTGGGCATGTGCACTATAAGCGTTGCATAGCTTTTTATTTTGCTACATAATCTGTGAGTAATTATATATCCTGGAAAAATAATTTGAATGTATAACCAAGATGTTGATGTCAGTACTCTCACTGAATATTTTTGAATACTGCATGGAGAAGTTATGAGCATCTATCCTTATAGACTGTGGTGCTGTTTCCCTGGGACTGGTACTGTCACAAAGCTGCCTTTGTGTTCAGTTATGAACTCAGTGTCTTCCTTGCAAGAAGCCACCCGATCTCATTTTACCATCTCTGCATTCACAATGGCATCTAATGTTCCCACATGTGGGTTTTTAGGTCATCAATGAGGCTGAATGAAACCATTTTCTTGCTAAGTATGGAATTTAGGGACCAAACTGCTGCAAGTTAAACATCAGTCACAGGCTCTCAAAACATTACGTTACAAAGGCTGTGATGAAGTTGAGGCACTGCCCATATTTCCAAAAGTAATGACAGTTCATCTTGAAGGCCCACTCAGTTATGTCACATTTGTATTTGCATCCTATAATATGAATGTATTAGTCGCAAATTGTTTGGTAGTAAATAATCATCAAAGAAATATGTTTATTTTTAGTTTTAGTATTCATGACTTGCACGATCCTGGAACAACATATATTTAGTGTGCAGAGCAATGAATCCATAACTTTGAGAGAAATGGCTTTATAGATCTTTAAGACTTATGTTGCTTTAGCAGTTAATCACATTTTCACTAATAATATGACACAGCCTTTACTAAAGAGTGAAAAGTGAATGACTCTTTTACTTGCACTAAAAAGTCCTCTACTTGACCTTTACCAGGGGCAGAGGGAAATCCAGCATAATCATCAAAAGATTTCCTACAGTAGTATCAATACTTTTATTTAGGCAGCAGACTTAGCTCTTCAGTTAGCACTCTTCAAGTCCCCACATTAGAGAGGGGCAAAGTCCTCCAGGCTCCGCTGTAACTTTGAACCTGGGGTCACACAGTGACATCTCAATGAGCCTGCATCTTCTGGAGAGTACCTCAGATAGTTGGCTCAACAAAGACAAATATTATGGCAGTGAAAAACAAATCTGCCATTTTTAACCTTTTCAGGGAAAGTAATTCACTTATTGGCTTTACTTAAAACGTCTTACCTTTCTTCCCCTTTTTGTTGTATCTGTGAGTAATTTCACCAGTCACATTGTTTATAGGAAATGAAGTTATTCGTAATCATGCCTTAAGAGTATGTATACAAAGTGGACATCCTAAAAGACCACTATGTATTAAATTCCTGATTGTTTGACATAAATTCTCTCTCTCTCTCTTTCACTCCGACAGGAATCTTCTCATTTATTTACGAATAGGTTAAGACCTTCGTCTTGTTTCTAGCTATGTTCCTAAGTGCTAACATATATTAAGTAAATTTAGAGCCTCTTCTGCATAGGAAACAAATTAAATTGGTTAAACATGGAGAAAGACTAAATGTAATCCATCTCTTGTCATGTTTATGATATCTGAACTCATCTTATATGAATGTTCCACTTTGGCTGTTGCAGCAGATGGGCTGCTTATGATAAACCATAACTACAGACACAGAACATGATAATATAAATCATAAAGAAGATAAATAATGAAATTCTTTTAAAATACTCTGGTTAAATATTTAGACAGTCAATTTTTAAGCTTACTTGCACACAAAAATAGTATCCACATATCTGGGCAAGGAAAGAATCATACTATAATATAAATATAATCTAAATCTAAACATTTAAGACTCAAGGTATTTCAAAAGTCTGGGTGAATTTTCAGAGCAGCAAACCATAAAAAGAGGCCCTTTTTCCAGAGGTGGTAACCAAAACAGAGCGTACATATAAATATCTCTTTATACTGATCCTCCTCATTCCAAATCTTGTTTTCTAATTCCAGAGTGAAGTAAGGACTTTGAATGACTTAGCATCACTTTTGATGAATACTTATTATCTATGTTACCAATTTTTATCAACTTTTGGACTTATACTGCTTAGAGTTTACAACTTATCTTCACGTATGTTTGATCCTCTCAAAAACCTCACCACAGACCAGCTAGCGTCCTGACTGTGTGGGTGAGGAAAGTAGAGTTCAGAGGAGTGACCTGTCCAAACTCATATGTTTGTATATAGTAGGGGCAAGGTTTGAAAGACTTGTTGGACTTCAAACAGGTGCTAATTTTCTAAACTATGGAACTTCAGCCAATTTATAAAAAAGGCTGAACATTTTAACTCAGGGATATTTGGAACAGACTTTCTAATACATATAAGCAGCCCAGGTTCTCAGTCCATGGTTTGAAGATGGCTAATAAATGGACAAAGGGCAAAGCTAGTGAGTAGCGTGGCAGCTGAACACAGGGCTCTAGAGATGATTATATTGTGTATTCCTGTAAATATGCCCTCACTAAAGGGCCATGTCTACTTTCAAACTTAAAGCATATATGGAGTGGGCGATTTCACAAATAAAAAGGCTGGCTTTTGGTGCAGCTACAGCCAATACAAGCAAAGCCTGTTCCCATTTGGAATGCTGACTCCTTACCCACCTCTACTATAATTCTTGGTGGGTGGCAGTGCTTTATCTCTGGATGAACTTGAGTTCTTCAGACACATTTCTATTAAATAGCATTGTCCCTCTCTCCCCTTCTTCCCTTCCTTTCTTTCATTCCCTATTATTTATGGATATCCTACTATGTTCCAGGCTATGAAACTCTAAAGAAAGCAACTATGGACATAGGTTTCGTGGAGCTTATAGACTCCTGTGGATGTAGATGCCTAAGTGAGCACTTTCAGGACTATAGGACCACATAAGAGCACCTGCCTGGACAGAGACAGGGGTGGAGGAAAAAAGAACCTACCGGACATATGTAAGATTGCCTAGGGTAAGATCAAGGCAAGTCCAGTATGACACCTAAAGAAGAGTAGACACTGACCAGATAAAATGGAGAAGGGTGGTAAAAAGCTGGAGGTGGGATGGAGAATAGCACGCGCATGTGGGGTTTGTTTGGTTTCCTTTTGATTTTAGCTGGGGAAGGAGGAAGTAAGGAGAGAGTGAAAGTGAAGAGAATCAAAAGGGACTTAGAGAAAAATACCTGTGTTGTGCGATAAACATAGAAGAAACATGGGTAGAACACCAAATTCTGATTTTGTGAAGTTCTGTGCATTGAAAATATGCTGGATTGCTCAGAAAAATTAGAGGAAAGCATGTGTGTATAGTTAGCAAGGAATAGGGCAGGCAGAGTAAGTCTGCAAATACCATTTCAATGACATCAAATAGCTTTTACTTGTAACTATTTTAATATGCTTATTTGTAAAATATGTTTAGTAATTCAAGGCAGTGATACAAAATATATCAGACATGACACTATTCAGACATAACTACTGGGCCAGGGAGAAGGCTCGACAGCCCAGTGCCTGGCTGGCAAGCACGAGGTCCTGAGTGGCATTCCCAGTACCAAAAACAAACAAACAAACAAAACCAGTATTTTAAATTAGTATATATATATACATATTAATCTTCCCTCCTGAGAAAAATTTATCATTTCCAAAACCTCCAATACTTTTCAATCAAATTTTAGTGATTCTCTCCTATTATGTGACCAAAATTATGTGCTTTGTATGATCCTGTAACTAACCCAGTTGAAAATATGATGAAAGAATGTGGATATTATGCCTGGAAATTTCTTCTAGTTTTTAAAATGCGAGTTAATTGATGAACCAGTCTTTGCCACATTTACTTTGTATCATATAAGATAATTAAACTAGTTTAGTTAAAACAGGCCAACTTAACCAAACTAATAATGTCTACTGATTTTTCTTGAGACAGGGTTTTGCTTTGCAGGGCAGGATTGCCTGAGCTCACTATGTAGCTCAGGCTATCCTTGAACTCGCAGCAATCCTTCTGTCTCAGCCCTCCAAGTGCTGGGATTAAAGGTGTGCACCACCATGCCTGGCTTGATGTCTATTGAATGATCAAACTTTTTACTCCATTTGAAAGTACTCTCTTACTTTTAAGGATAATACCTATAAATATCAGTTTTGCAATTGTTGTGCAGTTTACTAAACTGCCAAACTACACACCCTGAATTACTGTTATCTTACTGCTGCTCTAACTTGGAATGTGACGTCACACATTCACCCAAGACATAAAAGTAATAATTGTTTATTTATTTTTATCAATGAAGTTTGTTGGATATTTGGGGGTCAAGAATACCCAGACAGTGGCAACCAGTGATTCAGTAGCAGCTTGAAAAGTGCTGTTCCATTTAGACATTTTCTGAGTAATTTGGATGTAGAAAGGCAGGGATATTACACAAATGACATCAACCTGAGAGATGAAGTGAGTGGGGTAAAAGTCGAAGGCCCATGAAATAACAGAACCTAGATATTAAACCATCTGCTAAGTCAGAGCTATGTGTTCAAATTAAATTTTAAAATTTAACAGAGAAGAATATCATCTGATTAAAGAAATTAATTGCCTACTCAGTGGACATCACCTGACTTAATCATAGTTCACGTGACAGACATAGAGGTTTCGGTTAACTTTAACTTCTATAGCTCAGACTGTGATATAACCCATAAAAATTCAGAGATCCAAGAATGTTTACAGGAGATATTCTATTCCCATTTCTGTCTTTTAAGAGAAAAACAGTTCTCTGCCCAGCATTTATTGGCCGTCCTGAGCCCCCTGTGTGCTCTCACCTTGGAAGACACTGTGCAGTGATGAAGAAAGGCTGTGGACTCCAGTTCTCTGTGCTGCTGCCGTTAGATCATTCTTTTTTCTGCTCTTTGAATTTTGCCTCTAAAGCTAAGGTAAATAAATTTTCTCATTTCAAATATTTTAGTGAAATTTTCTTATTCCAAAATATTTTAGGGAATAAAACATTATTAGTCTATAGAATTTTTAGGGCTACATAGAGCTCTTCAATATCATTACACAAGAAATTTGAAGAAGGAAAACAAATGAAGGTCTTTCAATACTTTCACAAACATTTGACAAAAAATTAAATGAAAATGTTTAATACATTCTCATGGCTAGAAAATTAAAGCTTATGCATTTTGAAATGTTAATTGCCCATTTCAAAAATATTTTAGTTCAAAACTCATTGTTATAGTTTAGACACTTCTAATACAAATCAGCATTTATATGTAAGTATAAAGAGAAGCAATATTAATTGAAAGTAAACCATAGGCAATCCTTTTATTACATAATTTAAAAAAATCTTCTTTGTACTCTGAGAACACATAAGAAAGTTACATAAGTTTTCTCCAATATATAATACTATAAAGATAATGACTGCAAAGGTTTTAAGCAAAATTGAATGAAAATTTTATTGTATACTAATCTGTGTGTGTTTTCTAAACAGAGTGAGATTTTAGCTTATGAAATAAACTATTACACATTTCAAGATAAGTAAGCTTGAGTTGGGAATAAATACAATTTTCTGATTAGTAGCCAACTAAGTACCTTCTTTGCCACATAAAAACCAAATCTTCAAAACGGCTTCTAGGTAAATATCTGAATAAATAATATCAGCAACAATTGTATGGACATGTGTGTGCACATTTTGTGTGCTTCTAAATGACACATCTAAGGAATTAGTGGGGCTACTCTCCTGGGAAGTCGTGTTTGCTTGTGTATGTCATACACTGACACTATATGCAGTTCATTGTTACTCCTGAAATCATCAGGAATCCTCATAACTGTACCAGAAATATCTCACTACTAATTGTAGTTATTCAAAGTCAAAATTAAATATAAATCAGCCAAAGTAATAAACTGAACTGCTTCAAATGGCTTTAAATATTAAAAGCTCTGATAAATACTCTCGCTTGCAAATATCATGCCATTGTTTGTCGGCAGAAGTATGACAAACAATGACTCAGAAAACCCGTGGTCTACAGAGTGGGTATGTACAGGTTATGATGAAGGCACCAAGAACTGGATCTCTGTCACTTCTTTACATACAGCCATATCATTCCAGCAGTTGTAGAGCCTCCTTCAACCTCATTTCCATGTCTACTTAGTAAGAATTACCATGCCTCCCTATTAAAACAAACTTACAGTGGTTATCAAATCAGATAGTGCATGTGAAATCACTTGCATACACCTTGTAAAATGAATGTCTCTAATTTAGTTCATCCCAGTCATACCTCTGCACCATCACCTGTAGTCACACCAGGCGCTGAATACCCTGGTGAAAATGAGGAAGATCAGAACTCGACCTATCGGAACCCATGGCCAGCACCACCTCTCCTGGCCGAGCCAGTGGCCAGCACATTTAGAACCCAAATATGACAGATCGTAGTTTGTATCTGCATTTGGTCTTCTTTAGACTAGTCTTAGAATTAACTGACCTCAAGAAACTTACAAAATGGCATACATGGCAGTTTTATAAGGAGAAAGGGAGCAAGCACAAGGAAGCTGCAGCTGTGCGACACACAGTGTTTGACTAAGCTCACCGCCATTTCCCTTCGGCCTGTGAGGTGCATTTTGCTAATGACAATTAATTCCTTACTCAGGCCAGTGCCGCTTTATAACCCTCTACTTAAAAGAAATCAATTGCCTGAGTTCCGCTGGAGAAGAACCACCGTAATAGATGTTTCCACTCTTGCCTTTACTTTTCTCGGGCAGCCCTTGAGGTGGTCAGAGGTAAAAGCTAAAGATGCATTGTAGCCTGAAGGGATGATTGAATGGAAAAAATGGGGGATGGGGGCAGAATCTACTCAGATATACCAATTTCCCACCACCGTGAGCCAGAGCAATTGATTGATGAATCCTCTCTGTGTCAAGAGGCAGCCTTCAGATTTGATCACATAAATACTCATTCAACTCAAATTCTGCTTGACAAGCCTCAGACAGCTTTGTTCTGTCACAGATATCATTGGAGGGAAAATGCTCCATTAATCATCCTTAATTAACTTTACCATAGTCTGCTGAAACCAATATGCTCTCTGACTAAACCTCAGAGTTAGCCAGGATTCCGTAGTTATCAAATAGAGGAGAATTTTTCAAGTTCCTTTTCTCCTATGGCTATTAACTATGGGGGTCCAGTACGAATAGAGTTCACAGGAAGTCATGTTCATTGATTACATGAGATAGCTTATCAGTGAGTACATTCTTCTCTAAAGGAAACATAATTTTAAATATGACTGACCTGCATGAGATGGCATTTTATATCTATATCTCACTCAGTGCTCATAAGTTCTAATATTTCCTTCCCAATTCTCATGTATCATATGTCCTGAGACATGTTTTCTCAGTAAGAAGAAAGGAAGATTTAAAAACAACAATGATAATAAAGTCGTAGTTTGAAAAACAAAGTTTACAGTCAGAGTGGTTTGTAATAAATACATACACACATGTACACTGTTCACACTGTAAAATGCCTCACAATTTTCATAAAGCCTTATATAAGACAGCTTGTATTTTGATTTTTGTTAGTATACGTATTAAATACTTGCCCCATTTCAAAAATATCTATTGGGATATTTTGATAACAAGGGTCATAATTCATGGTAATAAGGGCAAAACCAAAATTGTTCTTCCATGAGAAACCCAAAATATAAATAAAGAGCAAAATAAAAGGCAGGTAATAGGAAATGGGGAGATAGATCTTTTGCAAAAGGGAAAGGAACCAAGAGATGGATGGAGAGAGGGAATAGGGAGGATGAAAAATGGTTTACAATGTGTTATGTATGCGCAGTAATTCCACAAAGAAATGTCATCATTATGTGCTGCAAACGTGTGCTAATAAAAGTAAAAACTGAAGAAAGATGTGCCCATGCTTTAAATAAAAATAAAGTGCTATGTGGGAACTGCCATAAGTGAAGAGTGTCTAGTACATTCGTCTGCTTCATATGGTGTCTTCTCAAGGTGGTTTTCTAGCTGCTTTGGATCTCAGCCATAACGTGCTACGGGAGCATAAGAGCACTGTGACGTAACGGTAGTGACCATTCACACACTGTGTTCTTAAAGCCACCTGATCCGTTTTAGAGTTAAGAGAAACTTCAACTTACACCACTGAATTCTGTATTCATACAAATTCTTTCGAGGATTATCTACCAAAAGAATTAATAGATTTTCGAAATGAGGTTGTGCCTGCTTATTCTATGTGTGCAAACTCAGAAGGTAATTTAAGTTTGTGAGCGGATGAACTCAGTAGAAATTAGGGTTACAGATGTCTAAAAATACAAGTTCTTTTTGCAGAGTTCTGCTTGGCATTGCCAGAGCAGACGCTGTATTTTGTTCCCCAAGTGGGTAACAATATGGTCTTGTTTTCTGACTAAAGGCAGACACAATCTATGGTAAAGCACGCCCCGAGACTCCTGGGTTTGTTAGAACAAACGCCAAGTCATGCGCCCTTTGTGCAAAATGATGTAAAGAATACGTTTCTGTGGAAATCCTAAAATACAGATTTTGTTTGACAGCTTTAAACTAGATTTTTAAAACATGTATGTGAATATTAAAGCATGAAATAATTTTAAAATTAACTATTTACAATTTATTTAAAATTAACTAACAATAAGATGATGTCAAGTTCATAACAACTGATGTCTTCTGTATTAAAATGATCAAATGTCTTATATTTACCTATTATGAAATGGGATTTTATTTTGGGGAGAAATATGTATCTTAAATAAAATAGTTACATCCGACTCACTTTCTATTTCTTTACCTTCCCTAGGATAAGATAAAAAGGTCAGATAAAAATAGGTGGAAAAAAGTCCTCTTTCAATATATTTGTATTTTAAATTCTGGTTACTCTTACTGTCCATTATTCTGTTCTCTTTTTCTTTAACTACTTCTTTCCCTTATATTGCTGTTGATGACTTCTGCCGAGGTTTAGGCATGAAGTTCTGCTTGCCTAATTCCATTTCCAGGTAATTCTACCTGCTAACTTTTTCCCGTTGTCGTGGACTGTTTCTCTTTTGCATGCTTTACCCTTTCTTCTCTTTCTTCCTTCTTTCTTCCTTCTTTCCTTCCTTCCTTCCTTTCTTCCTTCCTTTCTTTCTTCCTTCCTTCCTCCCTCCCTCCCTCCCTCCCTTCCTTCCTTCCTTCCTTCCTTCCTTCCTTCCTTCCTTCCTTCCTTCCTTCCTTCCTTCCTCCTGTCCTTCCTTCCTCCCTTTCTGCCTTCCTTCTTTCCTTCCTCCTTTCCTCTCCTCTTCCCTTCCTCTCTCCCTCCTTTTTTACTCCTTTCCTCCTCCTTGTCCTTCTCCTCTTCTTTCTCCCTGCTACCATCTCTCTTCCTCTCTCTCTGCAGTTTAACCTTACTTTCTCCTGAAACTTTCAGATTTAAGCACACAAGTGTCCTCTTGCCAGTTACTATCCTGGATATTAGAAACAGAATACCACACATAGTAAGCCAGGGCAGTGTAAGGTAGACATTAAACAATGAATCCCAATATAATGTGATAAAAAATCAGGTAGACATTTAGCATGCTATGATAACAAATCCTTGAGAAATCATGTAGTCTAAAAAGAACAGGAAAGTAACAACTGAATGGAGATCCTTTGAACAAATGAGTTTTCTACATAAAAAGGATGAATGGGAGTGGGACAGAGAAACTCCCAGATGAGTTTTACATAGCCATTCACTCAGTGTGTATGTACTGACACTCTCCTATTTGCCTTTGTCTCGTTTGCCCCCCACGTAACCTGTACTAGCTGTTCATCTGTTGATTTAAAATCGTGATAGTTGAGAGTACAGAAAGCCTACCACCTAAACCTCAACAAATACATCTGAACTAACACTTACTTTTGGAGACAATGAGAACAAAATGAAGGCGACTTCGATGGAATCTGG